CAAGAAATGTCTGTGAGACTCTTACTTCCAATTAATCATAAAACGCCAGAAATGGAGCTATGGGTCAAGTGATTAAATGCTAATCTTGAGCAAAAAACACTCAGGCCCAGAGATCAAGTCCCAATACCAGCACACACACACACACACACACACACACACACACACACACACACACACACACACAGGGTACACTATGTATTGATCTAGTAGGGGAAAATTAAAAACAATCTATGCTGGACACTGGTGGCTCACACCTGCAATCCTAGCAATTCAGGAGGCTGAGATCTGAGGATATAGTTCGAAGCCAAATTGCAGACAAATTGTATGGGTAGACAAATTGTATCCCTAATTAACTAGCAAAAAGCCAAAAAGGAAGCTGTTGCTCAAGTGGTAGAGTATTGGCTTTGAGTCAAAAAGCAAAGTAAGAGTAAAGTTCAAGTCCCAGTACTGGCACAACAAATAAATAAATAAATAAATAACCCCTCTGTACATCACCTTTATAATACCGATTTTTAAAATTATTAATAAATACGCACATACTACATTCTATAGAGTCATACCTTCCTAGGTTCTCAGACCTGGAATTCACACTGTTTTTTATGATCCCATAACCTCGATTTTGAAATAGAAACAGTAATGACACCTGTTGAGGGTTTCCCAGCCCCCTCTGGGTCATTCCTCCTTTTCTTGTGCCTTCTAAGGGGGTATACATGAATCACAAACAATAGGACACAAAATTCTGAAAAGAAACTAAGTGAACTTATCGTCTCTGTTTAAAAGGAGTCCAGGGTTTCTTTCAAGAAAGCAATTTTTAAAAAGTGAACAAGCAAAATCCGAGAACATTTCTGGATACATTGAGCTTCTCTTTTCTCATTCTGAGTCTCCCCCCCCCCCCCCCCCGCCCCACTTTCCCCTATTTCTTTTCCTTTTGTCCTCCTCACAAAACCTCTTTTGTGAGATGTACAGGAACAGCCCGCAGCTTCCATGGGTTCTGTGTCCCCAGATCAACTCTGTCCAGACCCAGGCTTCTGATGATGAGTGACGCAGGACTTGGCTTTTGGCTCCAGAAATGTTTTTTTCTCTCAAGTGGGTCTGACTCCTCTTGCGCCCCCCTCCTTTCCTCTTCATCTTACCTCCACCCCTCCCCCTTCCCCCTCTCTCTTCCAGATTGTTTGCTTAGTCTCTTCCCCACTTCCTTGGTGGCCAAAGTGCCAATCAATCACAGCTGGCTGTCAGGATCTCAGCTCTTTCTTTGGCCCCTCTATCTCCATGATAAAAACAAGATAGGAGTGGTCTTTTCTAGCCTGTAGGCGGCAGCGGCTGGCACTCAGCAGTCAGCCAATGGGAAGAGCCCGTCCTGTCAGCTGCAAGGGCAGTCAGCCAATGAGAAGAGCCCATCCTTTCAGACAAACCCACTGGTCTCTGCTCAAGTTTGCAAATGCCACAGGATTAAGTTGTTTTGCAAAGAGGGGAGGTGGTGGAGAGGGGATTAGAGAAGGGGAGAGGAGGGAGGGAGGAGGGAGGGAGAAGAGAGAGGGAATTCTGATAAATTCCAGATGATTTGAAAACACATTTGAGGGTCAGATATACACAGCCAGATAGTATCGTAAGTGTAAATTGATGCACTATTTAGGTCCAAACATCCTGCAGCCTTTAAATTTAAAGATTCCCAATTAGAGATGATAATTAAAAGGAAAAAAAAAGTGAATTTTGCTGTCTGTAAGCCCGAAGCCATTATTAGAAGAGAGGGTTTGCTCAAAGTTGAAACTGAACAGCTAGTAAAGTAATGATGGATATGTATTGGAAAGGGTTTAAATGCAGAAAGAAAAAGAAAGAAAGAAAGGAAAGAAAGAAAGAAAGAAAGAAAGAAAGAAAGAAAGAAAGAAAGAAAGAAAGAAAGAAAGAAAGAAAGAAAGAAAGAAAGAAAGAAAGAAAGAAAGAAAGAAAGAAAATACTGGAAAGATAAAAGTATGTAAAAACTGGTGGAACCCCTTCATAATGTAATCTAGGACCAGATCCATCTTTTCTGTTTAGAAAGTCGGGGTGGGGGGTAGGGAGGGAGTTGGAGAGGTGGGAGGGAAGGGATAGTAGGGGAAAAACAAAGGAAGGGACAACAATGCTTGATAGGAAATGTACTCATTATCTTACTCATGTAACTGTAACCCCTCTGTATAATGTCTTTACAATAAAAATATATATTTAAAAAAAAGAATCCCACAAAAAAAGAAAGAAAGTCAAAGCCATCTCATAGGCTGGTCCATATTCACCAGGATCACCAGAGGTTCCAGCTTGGCCACATGCCTATTTACCTTTGTCCTTTCCTTTAATGCAGCTAATTAATGTAAAATATATATAATCTAAATTATGTGTTAAAAATATGTATTTATAAATTATATAAATAATTATTTATATGATATATAATATTATACAATATATAAATATATCATATAAATAATTGTTTATTATATAAATATATTTATATTAACATATTGTCATATATAAGATACAAGTAAATATGCAAATATATTTAACATATACAAGATATTTAAGATATATGTATACACACATATAGGTATACTTTTTTTCAATGCTGGGATTATTAAGGCTTCACACTTGCAAGGCAACTACTAAAGTACTCAACTCCTACTTGACACCTTCAGCCCCTCATCTCTCCACTTGAACTTGAGATCTTCAGCCCTTCAGAAAACAATAAAGAGCACTACTACCATTGAGTTGAACCAATAGGGCATTCTCTTATATAAATATGATGCCATACTCCCAATATATTTAACATGGACACACTAAATATTATCTACTAGCAATTTCCCAGTTGTCCCAGTAATCTTCCTGTTATCTTTTGTAACAAGGATGTGCTTTGTGAAGTTTTCTTGCCCATCTGAATTTACCTAAGGACTTACTTTTGATCAGATTCAGGCTAAACATTTTTGCCAATGCTACCCAAGCAGGTGTGTGCGTGGACTGTGTTCCAGCTGGAGGAAGTGATGTCAGAGCGCTCTGGTATTTCTCTTGTAGAGTTGGGTGGCTTGCTCATGGTGGACACTGACATGGTGCTGCATGCCCATCCTCCCCCTGTCATCCACTGGCCTTTATAGCTCCTGCCCCAACCAAATACTGTGCTGGTGTCAGTGGGGTGTTTCTTTCTCCCTTCCTCTCTCCCTCCCTCCTTACTTCGTTTTTCATATATAATGGTAATCTTCAAACCAAGTCTTTCTAATACCACAGCTAATGCTCTTTCTGCTCCATGAGCCACCTTTTTAATGTATAAACTATATAAATACCATGTGTAAACTACAAATATATATATATATATATATATATATATATATATATATACACACATACTAGTGACACTAGTTGTCTGAAGCTATTAGGAAAACACAACTTTTTCATTTCCTCTTTCTTGGAGAGTTCCATTTATTTCCTTGCTTTCTTATATCATTTCCTTTTTCTTTTTTGATAAAAATGAATTCTTCTAGGGGCTAGTAAGGTGGCTCAGTGGAAGAGTGCTTGCCTTGCAGGCATGAGGCCCTGGGTTCAATTCCTCAGCACTGCATAAGCAGAAAAAGCCAGAAGTGGTGCTGTGGGTCAAGTGGTAGAGTGCTAGCCTTGAGCTGAAGAGCTGAGCGACATCGCCCAGGCCCAGAGTTCAGGCCCCACAACCGACAAAAAAAAAAAAAAATCCTTCTAGTCTGATGCCAGTGACTCATATCTGTAATCAGAATTACTCAGGAGGCTAAGATCCAGAAGGTCTTGGCTTAAGTCAGCCTGGGCAGAAAAGTCTACCTGACATCATCTCCAAAACAGCCAGGAAGAAGCCAGACTGGAGGTGTAGCTCAAATGGTAGAGCAATTACCTAATAAGGCCCTGAGGTCAAACCCCAAAACTGCCAAAAGAAAAGAAAGGATTGTAATCCCAGCTACTCAGGAGGCTGAGCTCTGAGGATCACAGTTGGAACCCAGCCTGAGCAGGAAAGTCCATGAGACTCTGATCTCCCATTAATCACCAGAAATCCACAAGGGGTGCTGAGGCTCCAAGTGGTACAGTGCTAGCCTTGAGTACAAAAGCTCAGCTCCAGTGCCAGGTCCTGAGTTCAAGCCCCACGGCTGATGTGAGGGGAGGGGAGGGGAGGGAGGGAAGGAAGGAAGGAGGTCAAGCCCCGTGACTGGCAAGGGAAGGTGGGAAGGAAGGAAGAAGGAAGGAAGGAAAGAGAAAAAGAAAATTTTTCTACCAGTTCCTTTTTCTTTATTATACTAAGGAGGTCAGGTCTGTCGGGCTCCATATTGGCCACATGGTAGATGGTAGAGTCTAGCATCTTGTTTTCATGCTGGGGGAGGAAAATGCCATCTGCCTCCCAGGTGATGGGCATGCCTGGAGCCCTGTAGTCAGGGGTGGGCACTTGGCTGATAGGTTACTGAATCTGTCAGTCCAGTGGCTGGAACTGGGAATTTCCTGTGGGTCTGCCCTGCTGATCTGGGCTCTATTTAAGCCCGGACCAGCCCAGCCGCCATTACATCATGTACATGTGTCTCTGTGGTCATGTTCTGGGTCCTGTCTCCTGACTCCTCTCCAATCATCGTAGCGTCCCAATTCAGCCCTCCATTGGAGCTGAAGTGGCTTGTTGGTATTGTTTTTGTTCTTTTTCCTCTCTAGCATGTTTCCTAGCTGTGTTATGTGTAGTTGGGGGCTGCAGGCCTTTGTAACAACTGGCAGCCTGCAGCCTGCTAACTGTATAATAAAGACTCCAATATTCCATATTTCAAAATGTGGCTTCTGGGGTGATTCACCTACAACAGTAAACGGCAACACCTCTTCTAATACTAATAAGTTCAGATTTCTAACTCACACCTGGTTAGCCTTGTGAGGGTTACAAAGCCCTGGGCAAGTTCCCCCAAATTAAAACAAAGCCAGAAACAAAATTCTTTGTTTGCCATCTTTGTACTGTTTAACACAAGTATTTCAACAGCCTCTATTTTCCAAACATGCAACCAGGAGAGAGTAGTCTGACCCACAACCTATTGACATACCATGTGGCCTTAACCTTGAGATACAAAGCAAAGGAAAAAGTCAAAACAGCTGCGAGCAAATACCAACACAACTCCAGACCCTTTTCCCCTGGTATCACAGGAGGCTTACTGGCAATGTCCCTGGCTGTGGGACACACCTGCTCACCTACCCTTCTGCAGCTCTGTGGGGCCCCACATGCACAGTTGGAAGATCAAACACATTTATCAAGGAATTCAAGTGCTGCTACCCATGCCATCTACCATCTACCATGCTGGGGCTGTGTTGTGTATTCACAGTATACACAGAGTCTCTGCTCTTCCTTGTAGTTTAATGTTGCTAGTACAATCCAAGAGTACAGAGATGGAACAAAGCAGCGACATCAGAAAGCTGAAGCCACTTGCTTCCATTCTGCATATTGAAAAATACAACTGCTTTCAAATCTGGTTAACCTGAGGAATGTCTTGAGGACCCAAAGTCAGAATGAAAATGCAGAATCTAAGAGAAGTTCTTTCTTCTCACTGCACATGGCAGAATCCTATGGGAGATTTTGTTTGTTTGTTTGTTGTTGTTTTACCAAATCAATCAACAGAATGGAATCTCATGTGGCCAAAAAAATGATGGGTAAAAAGCAGGGCAGTGTCTGTGTCTCTGTTCCACCACATAGGAACTCTGAAGACAGAATATCCGAATGTCACACGGGGCACTTCCTAGACATCCTTGCTCAGTGCCAAATAGTCACACCGTTGACTCAGTGAATCCACTCAGCCAAGCACCTTTCAGAAGATGCACACTAATGTTCTTTCCCTCTCCAAATAGATCTAGAGAAGTCAGGTAACATTCCTTTCCTAAGAGAGAGCAGAGCCAGAAAGCAGGTCTTAGCTCTGTGTGACTCAAAATGCAGGTTCTAAACCTTCACTGTCAGCACATCAAATTATCTTACATCCTTTTTTCTTTAAAAGAAAAAGAGTATTCATAATGGAATAGAAAAATTAGACAACTCACAATTATGTTCTGCCTTCAGGATGTTTTCTTGGAGCCAAGCTTGATGGTGCACATCTGTTATCCCTAGCATGTGGGAGGCTAAGACAGGAGGACAGTGTGCTCCAAGACAGCCTGGTGTACATAGTGAGATCCTGTCTCACACACACACACACACACACACACACACACACACGATATTCAGGCTGGCCGATGGTAGCTCACACCTTTAATTCTAGCTATTTAGGAGACTAAGAGAGGAGGATCATGGTTTAAAGCCAGCCTTGGCAGAAAGCAAACTATTATTTCTAACCAACTGGCAAAAAAAACAAAAACAAAAAACCTGGAAGTAGAGGTATGGTTCAAGTGTCAGAGCACCAGCCTTCAGTGAAAAACCAAGCAGGACCCTGAAGCCTTGGATTCAAGTCTCAGCAATCTCTCTCTCTCTCTCTCTCTCTCTCTCACACACACACTCTCTCACTCTCTCTCTCACACACACACACTCACATACACACACACACAAAGGAAGGATATAATTTGAAAGAGACAATGAACATCATATTAATCAAAGTCAACTCCACATCACTTTCTCAAATGCATGAAAAATTAAGAGATGAGCTTTTATAGCTACTTAAATGCACAGAAGCCCAACATCCCAAATTAAAACGATGACTGGGAGATGAGTAGAGATCAGTGACTTATTCAGCTGACCAATTACTTCTCAACATATACTTTATTGTACACCTACACACATTCATCTTTGCACTCACTCACAAGCTGAATTAGCAATAACAAGCCAGCTTAGTAAAAACACAATAGAGAAATTCATCATGGAACTTAGGCCTACCTGGAGATAACTCCTATCAAACACCTGTATCAAGAACTCCAAAGGAATTGCACTAGAATGAAAATTTGAAAGGAGTGGAGAGTCTTGTTTTGGCTCTAAGTCATTAAGATGTAATGAAAAGAGATTGAGTCCTTGTTTATACTTTGTTTTGTGGGAAATTGTGCTCGGAATGTGGATCTATTGTGCCCAAAGGATATTGGCTTAATTCTGTGCCCACCAGGCCGATGGAGCTGAGAAACAATTAGCTCAGTCAGCAAGCCTTTGAATCTGATTAAGCCAGGAAGTGGTCACTCCCCAGACAGGGCAGAACCAAGGGAGTCAAGGCAGCAACACCCAAACAAAGACTAATTTTCTCCTCTGCTCAAATTAAACCAGTATTCAAAATTCATCATGTCCAATTTATATCAAGGATCACGTCAACTACATTTCATCTCTGGTGAAATCAAGAGACTCTGGCTTCCAAGTAGATTAACAGTCCACCTGTGTCCTGGCTACTGTCTCTAAGAAACTGCTATTTATTGAGTCCTGTTACAGCCCCGTGTTTTGGAAACCAAACCTCTTTGAGATCAAGGAATCAGGTCACAGAAGAAAATGAAGGGCCTCTCCAGACTGCGGGCCACATTCTCCTTTCTCTGGGAAGTCTCAGCGTGTTCTCCGGGGTCCTTGTCTTTTTCCCTGTGTTTTCTTTCCTCCAAGCTTTGGTTCACTGGATGGAGTGTGTGGATTGTTTGTCCCATCTGGAATGGAGCATTGGTAGGATATATTTTATTAAATATATTGAGAGAAAATAGTTATTAGCAAAATAATATAGTTAAGGAAGTGGGGGATGTAGAGGTGGAGGGAAGGACATAAAATAATACCCTTTACATTTTTTCCCCCAAAATACAAAAATGTCTAAATTCTCCAGAAAACTAGAATTCAGGTTTTATATAATTCAGATTTTATATAATGCATTTCATTTTATTTTATTGATTAGGTTCATGATACTTGGAGTTGAACTCAGGGCCTTGGGTCTGCTAGTCAAGTGCTCTACCACTGAACCACAACCCTAGCCCAGAGCTCGAATTTGAAAGCACGGGTTTCTATAAGTGGCATAGTTAAGTATAGACTGTCAATATTATTTTATTACATACATGTAGCTGGAGTCCTAGGCCTTGCTCCGGGTATTCCAACATGTCATTCACCCTGAAGCCTCAAAGAAAGCCATAGGAAATAATGAGATAATAAAGGCAGGTAAGGATCTTAATCAACACCTCAAAGTTGGGAAGATGGAGGAGATTAAGCTTCTCAATTCACCTTTGGGTGCTGACAAGAACTTTTGGGAAGCCGGGTGCCAGTGGCTCATGCCTGTAATCCTAGCTACTTAGGAGGCTGAGATCTGAAGATCGTGGTTCAAAGCCAGCCTGGGCAGGAAAGTCCGTGACACTCTTATCTCCAATAAACCACCAGAAAACCGGAAGTGGCGCTGTAGCTCAAGTGGTAGAGCGCTCGCCTTGAGCTGAAGAGCTGAGGCTAGCCTTGAGCTGAAGAGCTGAGGGACAGCACTCAAGCCCAGAGTTCAAGCCCCACAACCGATAAGAAGAAGAAGAAGAACAACAACTACTACTACTACTACTATTTGGGTTAAATAGAAGAATTGGGAAGGGGTCAAAAAACAGTCAAAAAACAGTCCAGTATAGAGGTTTGAACTCAGGTCCACAAACTTCCTTGGCTTTCTCTCTCTCTCCCTTCCTCCTCCCTCTCTCCCTTCCTTCTTTCTTCCTTCATTCCTTCCCTCCTTTCTTCTCTTCTCTTCTCTTCCCTTTTCCCTCTCTTTCTCTTTCTCTTTTTTTTCTCTCTCTCTCTCTTTCTTGTGTGAATCCTGGGGCTTGAACTCAGGGCCACAGCATCACTACTGGCTTTTTCTGAGTAGTTTATTGGAGATACGAGTGTCATGGATTTTTCTGCCCACACTGGCTTCAAATTGCAGCCCTCAGATCTCAGCCTACTGAATAGCTAGGATTACAGGCGTGAGCCACCAGCACCCAGCTTGCTTGGCTTTCTTGCTTATAGCTGGTGCTCTACCACTTAAACCACATCTCTAGCCAAGCAGTTTTCTGACTAATTGGAGCTGGATCTGAAATGCAGGCCCATGTACAGGTTTCTAGATAAATACCTTTATATTCATTGACACTGGTAGTTCACATCTGTAATCCTAGCTCTCAGGAGGCTGAGATCTGAGAATTGCAGTTCAAAGCCAGCCCAGGCAGGAAAATCTGTGAGACTCTTATCTCTAATTAACCACCAAAAAGCTAAAAGTGGAGTGGTGGCTTGAGTGACAGAGAGTAAGCATTGAGCAAGAAAGCTCAGGGATAGCACCCAGGCCCTGAGTTCAATACAGGCACGCATTCTCTCTCTCTCCCCCCCACCTCTCTCTCTCCCCCCCATACACACACACACACACACACACACACACAAACATGATCTACTTTCAGTTGCAACCCCTTCCTCCTGATGCCATTTTCTGCCATTTTCACTTCCTCATACCCTGCTCTCCTTCCCCTCAAAAACCTATCAACCTCAGCTAAGGACAAACTCCTACTGACCCTGGACCCTGGCTTGCAAACCGTGCCTTGGGGAAGAGCAAGTACAGTGATTTCCGTCTGGGGACCCAAGCCTGGAGAATGCAGAGACTTGGCCAGTGGCGGTGGGCAGAGTCCCACTGAAAGACAGGGATCTGGTAGAAAGCTCAGGGCCTTACTTAGCCTGCATGACCTCATCTCCTTCTGCATTCACTTATTTATCACTGTGGATTATATGAAGATGGGATTTTCTGTTCTATTTGCTTTATTGCTATATCTCCCATAAGCTGGAACTAAGAGAGTCATACTCTAAGCTTGAACAAAATAGTCCTTCATGTTATTGAGTGAGTGGATTCTCCATCCTCCAGCAGAGCAGTGCAGAATGTCTTCCCCGGGTGAGCTCTGATTAGATTGCAAAGACCAAAGGTCAAGCTGGTATTTATACTGAAGCAGGAAAAAAATCCTCACCAGAAGGAAATCAATAAGAATGCTTGCTCTTGCAATAATGTCTAAATGTGGAACAGCAGCATTATTTCCCTACCTAGCCACAGTCTTGTCAAGGTCAAAGTCAAAAGGCCTCTCTCTCTGCCCTGAGTCAGTGCTGGTGGTCCCTTCCTGAACTCCTTGCTACTCAGGAAGCTGAGATTTGAGGACTGTGGTTTGAAGCCAGCCTGGGGTAGAAAAGTCTGAGACCCATTTACCAAGCAAAGAACTGGAAGTGGGGATGTGGCTCAAGTGAATGAAAAAGCTAAAAATAGCTAAGCAAGAATGTGAGGCCCTCAGTTCAAGCCCCAGGACTGGCACCAAAACAAACAAACAAACTTCTGCCTTCTTCCACGGCCTCCCTGACCTGTCACATACTCGTCTTCAAAGGATGTTTCCTCCTGTCAAAAGCTCATCTGTACACTTCAATGATGTTGATGCTGTCTTCTGCAAAGGACACCATACTACGTTTAAGACATGAAATGGGTACATTTTTGCAGGTGGTAAAGGCCCTGTATTCGTTCAAGGCTATCTCAGCAGTTCACAACTATGAGTCCTCAGACTCTCCTATCTCCATTCTGACAGCCACATGACTCCCACATTTTCTAGGATTTCTGAGGGAGGTTATTTAAAGGCATCAGCTGCTTGAAGAATGCAGCAAGGAGCTCCTAATACTCCTAACACTGTAAGGGTGGAGCCCTGTTGATCCCAGGGTTGGGCTTACTGACCAGGCCTTGAGGACGGGGGGAGCAGAGGGCCTTCCACCCCTTTGGCCAGGCCAGAGACCCGGCCAATGGCAGCAGCATTGCAGCCAGAGTCCTGCTGAGAGGCAGGGATCTGGGAGAAAGTTCAGGGTCCACTTAGCGCTGCAGGGCCTGGTCCCCTCAACTGTTACAGAAGGCACTTGGTTCTGGAAAGGCTTCAAGTCTTTATTTCAACCGTCACATGACTACAGTTACCAGATGATGGTAAAAACACCACAAAACTCAGTCAGTCAGGTAATAGATGAAGCAGTAGAAACAGATTTTATTATTTAGTACTATTGCAGAGAGAGAGAGAGAGAGAGAGAGAGAGAGAGAGAGAGAGAGAGAGACCTTAGGCTAGCCCTGGGTTTGATTCCAAATCCCAAGTGGGAATTAATAGCCCTGGCCCTGGTCAGTGCATGGAAAATTACTAAGGAGAGGATATTGGGAATAAATGATTCTGGATAAACTGGCCAATTAGGATTTTTTTTTTTTTTAAATTTCAACTAATGAAGCTCAGCTTTCTTGTTTGGCTGACATGTTATCACTTGAGCCATATGCCTCCAACCTGGCTTTTTGCTGGTTCATTAGAGATAGAATCTCACAGACTTTTCTGCTGAGACTGGCCTTGGATCTCATCCTCTAGATCTCAGCCTCCTGGGTAGTTAGGATTAGATGAATGAGCCACTAGGGCCTGATTCCAACCTATCAGGACTTTTGCTGAAGACAGTTCAGGCAAATCAGATGGGAACTGACTGGGAGTTGGTGGAGGAGAAACACAAATAGGTATTAAGTGTGAGCAGACCCACAGGCACTGACTGTAGGGACAATTCCTTCCAAGAACTTCATAGGGTTCTTGCCAGACTGGCACATAGAATGGATCAAGGAGAAGAGTGAGGAACCTGACTAAAATTGGGTCAAGCAAACAATCCCAGGCCCTGATCTGGTTTTTTCCTTAGATAGACTGTTTCTTCTTTTTTTTTAATTAAGTATTTTTTATTGTTATTATAAAGGTGATGTACAGTGGGATTACAGTTACATAAGTCAGTTACAAGTAATGAGTACATTTCTTTTTGGGCAATGTCACCCCTTCTTGTGCTCTCTTTTAGTATTTCCCTCCTGTCCCCACCCACAAGTTGTATAGTTCACTTTCAACATCGTGTCTAGTGAGCACTACTGCTACATTCGTTCATCCTTTGTCCCTTCATTTCTATGCCCCCCCTTAGCTCCCCATGGCAGACAAACAAAGACACAAAGAAAATTAAGGACTGGGAAGGTGACTCAGTGGTAGAGTGCTTGCCTTGCATGCATGAGGTCCTGGGTTCGATTCCTCAGTACCACATAAGCAGAAAAAGCTAGAAGTGGCGCTGTGGCTCAAGCGGTAGAACACTAGCCTAAAGCTGAAGAGCTGAGGGACACTGCCCAGGCCCAGAGTTCAGGCCCCACAACTGACAAAAAAACAAAAACAAAAAAATTCTTGATTCTATTTCTTAGAGTTAATTTCTATAAATATTATTTCATATGATCAGATGCACTTAGGCATTGCGCCTTTGTGTTCCTCCCCTAAGACTGTCCTCCTTTGGTTTCACTGTGTGTGAATGCCTAGAGTCTTGATAATTTATCATGTCCCCATATATTTTAGATCTAGCTTCCAAATATGAGAGAAAACATGTACCATTTGTGTCTCTGAGCTTGGCTTACCTCAGTTAACATGATTTGATTTGTTCTAGGTCCATCCATTTTCCTGCAAATGGCATAATATTATTCTTTCGAATGCTGTGCAAAATTCCATTGTGTATGTATACTACATTTTTTTGGATCCACTCATCTACTGTAGGGCATCTGGGCTGTTTCCATAACTTTAACCTATTTCTTTCCATGCACCTAGTTTGCCTAAAAACAAATGAATCATCGTATTGCCAAAGTCATTTCTTCCCTCTCCAACTTCCTTTTCATTGTTTTGAGG